GACATTGAACTGAAGGCCCTTTGAGGCTGACGGAGCCTCCTAAGGTGACCTTCACACCAGCAGGGTTCCGTGAAACAGGAGGCCTGATGACCGCCTCATCTAATCTGCTGAACCGTTCTTCCCGGGCAGACGCTGGGTGGGTGCTCTACCTGGGCACCCAATGATCTCACTGGACTGGAAAAGCGAGGGTCGTACCCACCCCACACAGCCTACGGGGCAGACACACAGACAGAGAGGCCAAGCAGCCTGCCAGAGGTCAGGAGCCCCCATCCCAACCCCAAAGAACAGCTCCAGGGCCCAGCTCTTACCCTCAAACTAGGCTCTCCTCTTGTGTGACTCCCTGACCCCTCCCACATCCACATGTACAAACACACTCTCACATATACACACGTGTCCACACATGTGTATACATATGCACACAGACACACCAGCATGCACAAACACAGAACACACACTCTCACACACATTTATGCTCAGCTGGACCCAGACCTCTGTCCCTGAGCCCCGTCTGAGAATCTGATCTGAGCTCTCAGAGCCTTGGAGGAAGCCTGAGATCCGGAAGCTTCCATTGCTTGGAAACTGGAGAAGGACCCTCCCTCTGGTTTGGGCCAGGTGAACCCGAGGCTGAGCAGAGTCCCACTCACACGCAAAGGACTGGGCAGCTGAGGGTGGGGCTGGGTCCTCTTCCCAGCCCAGGGCATCTCAGTGCATGCTCTGAGATAACCTGTTTTCTACAAATGGAGTTAATACCCGGCCGGCGTGGCTCAGGGGTTGAGCATCGACCTATGAACCAGGAAGTCACAGTTGGATTTCCAGTCAGGGCACATGCCCAGGTTTCAGGCTCAATCCCCAGTGTGTGGCGTGCAGGAGACAGCCGATCCATGATTCTCTCTCATCATTGATGTTACTCTCTCTCTCTCCCTCTCCCTTCCTCTATGAAATCAATAACAATATATTTTAAAATAAATAAAAATGGAGATCATTAGATTACAATTCCTCTAACATTTTTATAATTTTTCTTAAACTGGTGTCCTTTTCATTAAACTTTTAAATGTTTTTATTTTTATTTTTATTGATTTCAGAGAGGAAGGGAGAGGGAAAGAGATAGAAACATCAATGATGAGAAAGAATAACATTGATTGGCTGCCTCCTGCACGCCCCCTACTGGGGGTCGAGCCCACAACCCAGGCATGTGCCCTTGACTGGAATCGAACCTGGGACCCTTCAGTCCACAGGCCGATGCTCTACCCACTGAGCCAAACCAGCTAGGGCTAAACTTTTAAATTCCATAAGTAATACTTGATTATAATAAATCCAAAGTCAGCCGTGGCTGTGCCGCTCCCCTGCCGTCTCCATAACCAATGCCAGTGCTCACACAGCACACACTCCCCACTTGGGTCCCACACAGACAGATGTTTGCACTTGACCCCGTGTGCCGAGCCTGCACGGCCATGGGTGAACCTGAGGGGGGCGGCGAAGGATTAAAGAAGACAGACAAGAGAATAAAGCTGGGGCCGGGTGAGATGCTCCCCTCTGATGGAGAGACAGCGCCACAGCCTGCAAGCCGAGTCTTTATTTTATATCCAGATTCCAGGAGGCAAAGTAAGGGTGTGGTCAAGATGTTTACAATGTTCTCCCAGGTTTCGGGTCAATCTACTCAACTACATGCACCTGATAAGCTTTGTTGCATCTCCCGCAGTTTATATCTCTCAGCCACGTGGGACCACAGGTTCGGACCATAAGGTCAAGCTCACAACTGTAGCCTTTGGACTTGCACGTGGTTTTGCCACGAGAGGAACGTGTCCTCTCATTAGTTCCAGGCTTGAACCTGTCCAAACGCTGGAGCTGTTCTCCACAACCCAGGAGTCAGAACACAGTTTCTCCTCTCGCTGCTCCTGTTCCAGCAGCTGTCTGCCACAGCCACCTGCACACAGGGGAGGACTCAGTGTTGGGGACGGCCGGGCTGGGGCAGGAGTGGGCTCATGGGGGCAGACTCTGCCACACGGACCTCGTGATACCTGCATGTCCCAGGGGATGGGACTAAGGCCTTTGGAATAGCCTACAGTGACCAGGGCCCAGTGAGTGCCCGGGAGAGCTCAGCGCGCGCGCACACACACACACACACACACACACACACATGTGGACTGTCCTTCAGCAGAGGAGAGACTGTACCGAGTGAGAATACAGAGACCAAACGAGCCCGACTTTGAGGAAGGCACTGCTGTGCACTGCTGTGACCTACCTGGTGACCACTCTGGGTGGGGAGGGGCAGGGAGATCCTGGAGCAAGGCCCATCCCTGGGGGGCGGGGAGGGGGTCCCCTCCAAGGGACAATCTGTGTATGGATTTGCAAGTGAAACCAGGGGAGGAATGGCCAGTGGGTGGCAGTGTGGGACCAGCAGTCCATAGGGACCTCCAGGAGCTGCCAGGCCGGGAGAGGTGGTAATGAGGTGGCCAGAGGGACCCCAGGGCACCTGGGGCAGGCAGGCACCGGGGCACGCAGGGGCACACACTGTGCACAGCACCGGGTGAGGTGCGTCGCGCTGTCAAATGTGCAAAGGGTGGCGGGAGGGCAAACCTTTAGCTTACACACAGTCTGCACTCTCACTGATTCTGTAGGGGGCGCTTTCTGGCACCGAGAGAGGAAGTGGGGAGGGGCAGGACCCTGGGCGCCACCTGCTAGCTGTGAGATCCAGGGCGCATGGTAACCCTCTGTGCTTGTTTTTGCCGAACCGGTTTGGCTCAGTGGACAGAGCGTCGGTCTGCGGACTCAAGGGTCCGGGTTTCAATTCCGGTCAAGGGCACATGCTCAGGTTGCGGGCTGGATCCCCCAGTAGGGGTCGTGCAGGAGGCAGCTGATGGATCTCTCTCATCGATGTTTCTAACTCTCTGTCCTTCTTCTCTGTAAAAAATCAATAAAATATATTTTTTTTAAAAAAGAGAGGACAACATGTAGTAGTTAGACAACGAGATGAGGTGGAAATGACTGTGAGTGCCTGGCACGTAGTAAGCGTTCAGTAAAGTAGCTCCAGTTGCAGTGGTTCTCAACCTTCTGGCCCTTTAAATACAGTTCCTCATGTTGTGACCCAACCAGAAAATGATTTTCGTTGCTACTTCATAACTGTCATGTTGCTACTGTTATGGATCGTCATGTAAATATCTGAGATGCAGGATGGTCTTAGGCGACCCCTGTGAAAGGGTCGTTCGACCGCCAAAGGGGTCGAGACCCACAGGTTGAGAACCACTGGAGAGAGAACGGATAGAGCCTCGGGGTGGAGAGCTTGGGATTGGGCCCCGTAGAAACCGAGCTTCAAGTCCTAGCTCTGCGGCTTAGCAGCTGGGACGTCCCTTTGTCTTTATAGACGGTTCCCATTGAAGGACTGTCTTACCCAGGGGCCCCCTGCTGGCTCTCCAGGGGCCCCAGCATCGAAGTGGGTGACCTGAGCTCCTCTTCTCTCCCGGGAACCTGGGGCATACACTGGACGGAGGGGTGGGGGTGGGGGGTGGACCCTGCCACTTCTCCAATTCTCTCACCCTCCTTCTGGCCTCAGGGCTTGGAGGAGGTGTGCACAGCCCTATGGTCTTTCAAAAGGCTCCTTGGTGAGTCCAGCAAACTGGGAAAAGGTGGAGAAGGTCACAGGTAGGCGTGTGAGCCCAGGAGTCAGAGTTGGGATCCAACTCCCACCCTGCTACGGCCGAGCCAGGCATTGTGTTTCCTGGGGCTCCGTCTTCTGATCTGCAAAATGGGGGCACTACCAGGTGCTGGGGATCAAACTTAGCTCCATGTGGACGGAATCGGAATCAGGTGTCTGCTCCGTCCCTCTACCTTCATCCCCTCCCTAGGTTAAACCCCGAGGTGTGCAGCTCCAGGTCTCACTTCCGCACTTTTGGAGACCCGCCCGCCCAGAGACACAAGCGGGCTGTCCTGTGTGGTCGGCTGGGGGCTGGCCATCCCTGCCTGCCTCCCCAGGTGGGTCGTCACTTCTTCCCTGATTGCCGGGCGGGCCAGAGGCCAGCATGGGCGGGGACTGGATGGCCTTGCAGGTGCCAAAGGCTCGGCTGTGTTCCTTCTCCCTGGACTTTCCCAGAGAACGTTCTTGCCCGGATCCTTTCGGCTATGACAGCCACAGACTTGACCCCTGCGGACCTGCTTGGATCTGGGGCCCCGCTCCGCACCCTTCCTCTCCCTCCCCCCCTCCGCCCCCATATCCCTCTCCAACCCCACTCCGTGCCACTCACCTCCCCACACCACCCTACACACAGAGTCCGGGCTCCAAGAGGCGCTTGCACGCCAGGCGGACGGCCCAGGAGGCCTGGGACCCGCCCACGCGCTGCCATCTACAAAGAAACAAGGCGCCTGTCCCCAGCGAAGGGAAGCGCCAGAAGGAGGGCGGCTTGGGTCGGTCGGCGCGGCCCCTCCCCGGCCTCCTCCAAAGCGGGTCTTTCCCAGCTCGTCTCCGGGTCAAGTTCAAGCCCGCAAAGCGCGTCAGCCTCCGTCACTCGACTCCGCCCCCTGCGCTACGATAGGTCGGCGCTCGGGGCCCCGCCTCCTTTTCCTGGAAAGTTCTTGGAAATTTGTCAAAGGTGTTTCCTCCAGAGGCCCCACCGCCCCAGACTCGGAGTCTGCGCCCCCACCCGCCCGCGCCCCTCGGCGGCCCAGCTGCGCGGCCCGCGGTTCTAGGAAGACGTCGCTTCCGGGAAGGGCTGGGGCGCGGAGGACAAAAGATTAGGCGGCTGGCCCCGCCTCGCCCGCCGGCCCGCCCCCCCGCGCCCTCCCGGCCCGCCGCGCCGGCGCCGCCCAGTCCGCTCCCGCCGCCCGTGCGCCCCGGTTGTCCGCCCGGGAGCTCGCTCCGCGCTCACGCGCCTCCCTCCAGCCGAGCCCCGCTCCGGGCGGCCGCCGCCGCTGCCGGGACATGGTCCTCTGCGTCCAGGGGTGAGTAGGCGCCGCGCTCCGCCCGCACCCGGCCTCCTCGCGCGCCCGGGACGCCGGAGAGCACCGGCCGCGTGCTAGCCGCCGGGGAGCGGGGCTGGGCGGGTTGGAGGTGGCCGAGAGCGCGAGGACGGGGGGAGTGCCAACACGGGAGGGTGACCGCACCACCGCCTCTGTAGGCGAGCCGGGGTCGGCTGGCGACGGGGCACACCGGTGTGCTTAGCCTGGGTTCCGGCTGGAGCAGGTACCCGCCCCTGGCAGCACATCCTCCCAGACGGGGCTCACCCGCCCGGACCCCCTGGGCCCAGAGCGCGCTCCTAGCCTGCCGCCCTGGGCCTGCTGCGGACTTGGGCCAGCCCGCCCCGCTCTGTCCGGCCGGCCGGCTCCTGCCACGGGCTAGCAGTAGGCTCTTCTTGGTCAGCAGCCTGAGATCCGTGGCTCTCAAGCTGGCATCTGCCAACCAGCAGCTCTTGGGAGGAAGGGTTTGGCCTCGTCCTGTCTGGGGCTCCCCCACAACTGCTTCACCCCTCCTCACAGCCCAGGCTAGGATCCTGCCTCCCTTCTCCAAGTTTCCCAAAGACTCGCGGGGGCGGTAGGGGCGATAAGACAGTCTTGGTCTGGGCGGAGCATTCCTGGCACATTCCTGCCATTCCTTCCCAACCCCAGACCCTCAGCATCACCCTCAGCCAGGGGTCTGCCCCTCCCCAGACTGACCGGCAGCTCAGAGAGCCGCGGGGCGAGCCGGTGGTCCCGGGGTGCTGGTGTCAGAACTGGGTGGTACCCGGTGGGGCCAGGCTGCCGTGCCCTTGCCCTTGCCCGGAGCGGAGAGGGAGGTCCTGTTTCCAGGAGGAACTTGGAGGTGCCAGGAAGAATGTGCTTCTTCACTGCCCCTGTTTGTCTCCAGCACCTCCCCCGCCCCCGAATTCTGGGACTCCTGGACACCTCGCCGCCCCTGACCCTGCCTTCCTCAGCTCCCCCCAGTTCTAGGGTCCCACACTCTCTTTCACTTTGCTTCAGCTGACTCAGGGCCAGAGGTGGGAGCAAGACTTGAAGACACACACACACACACACACACACACACACACACACGCACAGCCAGCGGCCTCCTGGGGAGGAGAAGGAATTCCCAACTGTGGGCTTGGGCTGCCCGCTTTTTGGAGGGGTCCCCCCTCAGGGCTGTTTGCCCCATGGGCATGTGTCCCCAGGCGGGACTCCCGGGCCCTGTGGGCTCCACAGCGGGCACATGGATAGGCCGCCCACACCTGGAACACACCGGCCACCACCCCCGCCATGCCGATGCCACAGCCATGGACACACCCCTCCCCAGACACACAGTCACTCGCCAGAAACTTGTGGGCCCAACACAGCCGTGCCCACACCCACATGCGCCTGCTACGTTGTCTAGACGTGGCCGCCCCCAGAGGCTCCAGCCTGGCTGGCTAGCCGCCCACTGTGCTGGAAGATTCCTGGGCCTGAGCTGAGCGCGGAGGCCCAGCGGGCAGGCCACCAGCCAGGGCCTTGGAACGCGGTCTCCGGCTCCCTGAGTGGGACCCCGGGTCCCCAGGGTGCAGCCAGAGGGGGGTGGAAAGTATCAGGCAGGCTGGGGTGTGGCAGGGCCGCGTGGCTCCCTCTGCTCGTGGGTGCTTAGGGGCCCTTGTTTGTTAGTTTCCGAAGGGTCACCTCTAACCTTCATTGTCGGACATGTTCCTCTGCCGGCCGGCGGCTGGCTCCTGCCCCCTCTTCCTGCCACCCGGGCAGCATCTGGCACCGCTTCCCCTGCTGTCACCTCTGCCTGCAGGGCCTTCCCCTACTCCTTCCTGTGGCCTGGCGGGCGCGGCTCAGGCGCAGGGAGATCCTGACTCCCCGAGACACCCTGGGCTTTATGACTCGGTTATAAGTTCTCCCCGAGGGTCGGGCCCGTGGTTTCGTTATCTTGGAGCAGCCGGGGACCAGACCCAGCGCTGAGGCCTAAGGGTGCAGTTTGTGAGCAGTGAGGGAGGACCAGCTGTCCCTTCCTCGGGACCCAGGAACGTGCCCCTCACTCCCGGGAAGGCCGGGCATCATGCTGGGCGGGCTTCCCCTCCAGGGGAGCTACTGCTCAGATCGGGGCGGCTCGGCGACCCGCTGGCCAGCTGAGGGTATGGTGTGGCCGGAGAATCAGCCTGGGCGCGAGGGCCCTTCGTGGCGGGTGCGGTTCTAGCCAAGAGCAAGGGTTGCGTAGAATCGCAGGGCCTGGCGGGGCTGGCTGCCAGGGTGGGACCAGAAGGGGGCATGCCGACCCTGCCCTCTGCCAGGAGCTCATGTTGATGGGAGGCGGGACTTGCCAGAGCCTTGGAGACCACTGCCCGCTGGACCCTCAGCCGGGAGGAGCAGGGAGCAGGAGAGGACGATGCCCAGTGTGGACCTAGGTCCCTCCCGTGGCTCAGCCAGGAGGACACCACTGTGAGGGGTCTTTGCACTGAATCCGGTCAGTGCGGTGGGGACCCAACTGGCCACTGGGAGTTAGAAATGCGCACAGGGAATGGCGTGTGGCTTTGATTGGGCCACACAGAGAGAGCGCGCGACTTCCTGTCCAACGAAAGCAGGAGAGCGGAGACGTCTTTCCAGAGAACCCACGTGCAGGGGAAGCAATCGGGGGATTTTGTGATGATAGTGGGAGTGGGCACTAGACTCATGGAGCCCAGGGCTGGGCAGAGGGGAAGCTCAGGGTCACAGTGCGATGGACCGGACAGGGTCGTGTGCCCAGCCTGGGGCACGGGATCGTTGGAGGTGGGGAGAGCGCAGGGCCTCCACTCACTGCCCGCCCCTCCCTTCTAGACCTTGTCCTCTGCTGGCTCCGGAGCGGATCGGGCAGCGGCCCCGGTGGGCCCAGCCTGAGCCAGTTATGCAGCCGTTGCCTGCCGGGCCCTTCCCGGAGGAGGTGGCAGAGGAGGCCCCTGCCCAGCCCGAGAGCGAGCCCAAGGTGCTAGACCCCGAGGAAGACCTGCTGTGCATAGCCAAGACCTTCTCCTACCTGCGGGAGTCGGGTGAGTCCGGAGCGGGCAGGCTTTTTCCTGGCTCAGCTGAAAGGGGCAGCTTAGCACTGCCGGAAGCGGAATGGGAGAGGCAGAGCCCTGCCCAGGAGAGTCTGGCGGGGGAGGTACAGCCCTCCCGAGGGAAGCATGAAAGGGGAGACAGAGTCCCGCCCTGGTTTGGTGCCCCCAGATCACTGTGACCAACCTCTCGGCCCCTCTCCGCTTGCCTAGGCTGGTACTGGGGCTCCATCACGGCCAGCGAGGCCCGGCAACACCTGCAGAAGATGCCCGAGGGCACGTTCCTCGTCCGGGACAGCACCCACCCCAGCTACCTGTTCACACTGTCCGTCAAAACCACCCGCGGCCCCACCAACGTGCGCATTGAGTACGCCGACTCCAGCTTCCGCCTGGACTCCAACTGCCTGTCCAGGCCGCGCATCCTGGCCTTCCCGGACGTGGTCAGCCTCGTGCAGCACTACGTCGCCTCCTGTGCCACCGACACGCGAAGCGACAGCCCGGACCCAGCGCCCACCCCGGCCCCGCCGGTCCCCAAGGAAGCGGGGGACCCTGCGCTGCCCGCCCCCGCGGCCACGGCTGTGCACCTGAAGCTGGTGCAGCCCTTCGTGCACCGGGGCCGCGCGCCCAGCCTGCAGCACCTGTGCCGCCTGGCCATCCACCGCCTGGTGGCCGACGTGGACTGCCTGCCGCTGCCCCGGCGCATGGCCGACTACCTCCGCCAGTACCCCTTCCAGCTCTGACCCGCCCGGCCGCCCTCGCCTCACCCCGACCTCCGGAGGGGACAGCGGCCCCGCTGGACTCAGGCCCTCGCTGCCCTCCTCCGGTCATCCTGGTGCCCATGTGCTTCTGGCAGCTGGACCTGGGAGAGCCCGCAGGAGCCAGGCTGGGGGGCGAGGAGCGGGGGGGAGTGTCACACAACTTGGAGGTCGCGCCCCCAGCTCCCATGTGGCTCCTGGTGGCGAGCCACGTGTCGGAAGAGAGGGAGCCGGCAGGCCCCGGCTCACCCTGTGCGCGGGCCGGGCCCCCTCACCTGCTGCGCAGCCCCCTGAACTCCGCAGGCTTTGCCTTACACTTTGCAGGGCTCTCAGTTCTCGGGGTGGGGCGGGCCCTCCTTCCAGCCCGACTTTCTCAGGGAGGATGGCGGCCAGAGGAACGGAGGTGGACAGTGACGTCCCCTGGTGGGGAGCAGGCCAGGCTGGGCCGCGCGGTTACACGTATTTATTTATTTATTCTCCTCGGGCTGGCCTCAGGGTGGGCCAGCCCCGCCTCTCTGCCCTGAGCCCCGAGAGCTCCGAGACCCCAGCTCCGCCCAGCTTCTCTGCTCCTCCCTGCGGAGGGCCCATCCTGAGACGCCAGGCGCCGACGCCCCATCTGTGGATGTGTCCGCCCGTCTCCCCAGCCCTGTACGCAAGGTGGGCGAATGGACAAGCACATGGAACCGAAGCTTCAGCGCCCAGCGGAGCCTGACAGCCCCCCATCCCTGCCCCCCAGGGCAGAGCCCTGTGTCCTCAGAGCTGGTCTCCTGGCTGCCGCTCCGCTGGCCTGGCTTCCTCCCAGGAAGGGGCCCGCCTGCCCCCTGAGAGAGAAAGAGATGCGCATCTGATAAGACTTTATAAAATAATTATTATAACAAAAACAAAAAACACACAGTTTGGTAGTCCTTCCTCTTCCACTGATTTTTCTATAATGGCAATAAAATTGTTCCTTTCGTTCGTGGAGCCTCTTCTGAGTCTGTACACAGATTGTTGCCCTTGATCTTATCACCACCCGCTTTCCGTCTGGGTCACCCAAGGCCCCGGGACCTGCTGGGGCTGAGCAGGCCCGGCCCGGGGGCCCATGGGAGGTGCGGGCGGGGCAGCTCTATCCTCTCAGCCTCTTGTTCCCGGGGAGGATGAGGCGGGAGGGAGGCCGCTGCCAGGGAAGGGGCGGCAGAGGAGCACCAGGCCCGAGATGAGCCAACAGAAGATGCCAATTAAAAGGGGAGACTTCAGGAGGGTGGGTGCCCTGGACCACTCCTGGGCGCGTCTTTTGAGATGAGGAGGCCAATAGCCAGAGAAGCCCTGGCCAGTCACCGGGAGAGCAGGTTCAGGGAGTGCGGGGGCACCGGGCATGACTGGGCAGCTCACTGCCGCCCACAGGAGGCCGGGGGGGGGGGGGTGCATCCTGTGCGCTGGGGCAGCTGGTGGCGTCGGGGATAGTGGCCAGTGAGCTGGCAGGCAGGGCCTGGCCTCAGGTGGGGGCAGGTGGGGTTGGGGAACCCTCTCCTCGCACTCAGGGCCCTGCACCCAAAAGGAGGTAGGAGAGCAGCGAAAGCGAAAACACGCCCTCGTCCGGCGGCCTGACCTGGGAACCCTCCGCAGTCCCACTGTGTGCTGATGTTTGCTTGTTACTTCACAGAACAGCTCCTCCACCCGCGGTCGCAGCCTTCACGCCCTTATTTTAGAAGCGGCGCTCGCCATCCCGTTCTCTTGGCCTTTAGACCATGAGCAGTTGCGGAGCGCGGGGGCCACTGCTGGCAGATGAGAGCAGGGAGCTGTGAGGGTGACGAGGAGGCAGGACAGGGTAACGGAGGCCCAGCGCCTTGGGTGAAGAATGGGCTGGTTGGTGAGTGAGCAGGAAGTGGGTCGGGGCCCAGGCCTCCAGCCCCGTGCCGGTGCCCGCTCTGTTGCTGGCTATGGGGCCTGGTGCCACACTTCCTCCAGGATGCCAGGGCTCTGCGGCGGATGGTAAAGCTCCTCATTGCTTCAGCCGGGGTCGCAGTGCCTTTTCGACTCCCAGAATGCCTGCGAGGACCTCTCTGTCTGCTCCACCCCCAGACCCGAGTCACCCCGTGGGCAGGTGGCCAAAGGCAGGCTGGTCCCCGCCTGGCACGGTGGCCGGGACGGAAAGGTGGCCGGGACGGAAAGCTGCTGGGGCCGGAGGAAGCCCGGCAGCTTCATGGCCAACAGAGGGGAGATAGCAATGGACGGGGGCTTGCACCTCGCGCAGAGCTCGCCACAACCCTGGGCGTGGGTCTACATGTACCCTCCTCCACACAGAAGGAACCGAGGCCCAAGGGGGCAAGGGGCTGGCCGAGGACCTGAGGCACCGAGGGGCCAGCCCCGAGGGGTCCCGGCTGCCCACTCGCCCCTGGACTGCTCCAGGCGGCGACAAGGCCTGGCCGCTCAGGCAGGCTGCTCCTGGCTGCTGCGTTCACTCCCCGGGTCCCTCCTTGCAAGATCTCTGGAATCATCGGCCTGGCCAGCAGGGCCCTGTCCCCTCACCTTTGCCTCCACTCAAGCCAGGGTCCAGCTCTTGCCTGGGGAGGGGCTGTCAGCTATGTTTAACCTCCAGTATTTTTCTGTTTTAATCTTATCTTCTTTCTTTTTTTAAAAAAAATACTAGTATATATTTGTATTGATTTCAGAGAGGAAGGGAGAGGGAGATAGAAACATCAGTGATGAGAGAGAATCATGGATCAGCTGCCTCCTGCACACCCCGCACTGGGGGTTGAGCCTGCAGCCTGGGCCTGGGCCCCGGATTCATGGGAATCGAACTGTGACCTCCTGCTTCATAGGTCGATGCTCAACCACGAGCCACGCCGGCCGGGCTCATCTGTTCATGGTTTCCTATCAGGGAAGTGAGTGATGCCTGGAACAGGGACAGTGGAGGGTGTGTCATCCGGTCTCAGACCCAAGACAGAGACTCAGCCTAACAGACGCCCCAAATCCTGCAGTCAGTGCCACCAGCCCGGGCGGCCGAGAGGCAGAGGGCACGGCCTGCCAGCGCCCACCAGGGACAAAGAGAGGGGCCGGCTGGCGGGTGCCCCGGGCCCGGCACAACATACAAACGGTACCTGATGGCAACTCTTTACCAATTACGTCCTTTGCCAGCGCACATGCTCCCTGCGTACCACCTGAGCCAGACGCCACCTGGGCCCGAGGACATGGCAGGGAACAAGGGTGCCCACCCTTAGGGGCTTATGGGCGAGAGACAATAAACGAGGGAACAAATGCACTCGGGACCAGTTCTGAGGGTAATCAGAGCCAGCAGAGCACGGGGCAGAGTGGCTTTGGGGGGACACGGCAGCAGGTGAGAGGCTCAGGGTAGCTCTGCAGCAGGTGGCACGGAGTGTGGACATCTGTGCAAAGAGCAGGAGCTGGCAGCGCCGACAATCAGGGCAAGGATATCCGGGGGCGGGGGTGGGGGCAGGAGCTGCCGGGCAATCCTCTTCAGGGCTGGGCCTGTCAGCGGGCGGGGTGGCCCCCGGGAGGCCTGGGGACAGGACGCCCTGGAAGCTGAGGAGTGTGGGCTCTGGCAGGCGGGTGGCGGAGGGGGAGGGGGCGAGGGGCGGCATGGAGTTCCTGGTGGGGGCTCCGCTGAGTCCTCGGTGCAGCCTTGCCCACCAGCAGAGGTTGTGTCACTCACCGCGGAAGCGGGAAGGCTCCGAGAGCGGTGGCCACACAGCCTGTGAGGGCAGAAACCGGGTGCGAACTCCGAGTCGAGAGCTCTGCCCTGCCCTCCAGGGGCTAGCCAGCCAAAGCCTTGGCACCACAGGTGCTGAGGGCATGACAGGGGTGGGGGCGATCCTGGA